ATGTTTTTTTTCCCATAATACTATTTAGCTAGAAAATGTCAATTACAAGCTTTTAAATTCGATGTTTTTCCACACTGAGGAGTGATTTGGTTTAGGATTTTCACGCAAAACTACACAAAGAGCTACTTGCACACAGCCGTGCCTATTGTTGAGCTGATTGACTCGACGAAATACAATCAGTTAACAGTACTCACCGCCAACTCTTGAGCCACTCTAGTTGAATATGAAGATTTAACTTTCAATCTTATAAATCACCGATGACCCCAAAGTGCGGAGCGCGTTTTAACGGTAACGGACTACTTACCATTAACACTAAATTTACATTCCGAGTACCAATAGACCACAGTTTGGGAGAGGGTAAAGTTGCCGTGCAACTTTCACAATAGTATATTCATAATATATGGAACGTTTCAAAGGTGATCTCTGTAACCCCCCCCCCCCCAGTGGCACAGCGGTATGTCTGCGGACTTACAATGCTAGAATCCGGGTTTCGATACCCGTGGTGGGCAGAGCACAGATAGCCCATTGTATTGCTTTGTGCTTAACTTCAAACAAACAAAGTGTAAAGGTCAATATAACCTATAGAAGAAGTAGTACAGGTTTTTAATCAAATCAACCTACAATGCGCAAGACGATAATTATTCAAAAATATATAGAAATAAAAAGATTTAGTATTAAAGTAGCGCGACGATGAATTTGTAGTTCTGCCATTTCGTTAACTATAATTTCTTAGTTTAGACTAGGGTGGAAGCAGAAAGCGTTTTATCATTTCACTAAAATATCTTGTCAGGTAAAAGAATGAAAACTGTAATTGACAAGAAAAGTTCAATGTAATTGGTCTTTAATTGAAACCGATTTTTTTTTTAACTAAACTGAATTTCATCAGTATATTCTGATGTAAATATTATGCATGTTTTGAACTTTACAAAGTTTATATGAGTTTTAACATTTTTGATGGAAATAAATTATCCAGGCTTAGATTTATTCTAACGATATTATTGACAGAATAATTATTTTTACGCTTTTGATTATTCGGTTTAAATCTACGACATTATCATAACATATAATAGCTAAACGTATATTAATAAACCTTTATACGCGTCATGATGTGGTTTATAGCAAAAAGTACATTACTAAACCTTTATACATATGATACGGCTTACAGCCCAAAAATTACATTACTAAACCTTTATACGCGTCATGATGTGGTTTATAGCAAAAAGTACATTACTAAACCTTTATACATATGACACGGTTTATAGCCCAAAATTACATTACTAAATCTTTATATGTATCATGATGCGGTTTATAGTTCAAAGTACATTACTAAATCTTTATATATATCACGATGCTGTTTATAACCCAAAAGTACATTAGTACAACCTTTATACATGTCATGACGCGGTTTATAACCCAAATTGCATTACCAAACCTTTATAGGTATCATCATGCGGTTGTTTGGATAATGTAAAAAAAAAAAAATAATAATTGTTTAAAATAAAAACCTTTCGAATGCTTTGGTGGCTAAAGAATCATGATTGACTATCGAATTGATAGTTATATTTTAAGTATATTGTTGTTGAAAGTTTGAAAATTTGTGCTTACAACGCTAAAATCCGGGGCTCGATTCCCCGCGGTAGACAAATAGTAGATAGTCCGATGAGGCTTTGCTCTAAAATAGCAAACAATACAAATCTATTTGTTTGTTTGTTTTAGAGGAAAGCCATATTTGGCTATCTGCTGAGTCTACCGAGCCCCGGATTTTAGCGTTGTAAGTTCTTAAACGTATCGCTGTCTCGTCAAGAGACACACAGATATATTTCTGTTTGGTTGAATATACCCTATACTTCAACATTTTACTTTAACAAACATTGCTTTAAAACATACTTTGTGTTACTTATTACTTGCAGCTCAGTAACGTAAAAAGTAAATTGGCATACATCGCAATTTATATTTATAATAGTAGAAATAATATAAAATTATAATTCGTATTACTGTGCCTAATGTATCTTAGTGTCCATACTCATTTCTATAGCACGCATCCAATGTTTTTATTGTTAATAATGATAAAAATCAACTGCTCTCCAGTGCATCTGATACACTGTTGGAAAAGGAGAACAAAATGTGGAAGGGGTGGTGGAGAGACCTGAAATCGCTATTCCTTGCATAACTATCAAAAATAAACCCCAGTGGGGTTATTGTAACCTCATTAGGTTGTATGATTTAGGTATTTTATGGAGTTTTCAATTTGGGTTGGGTTCATTAACAGCCTGCTGCATAATAACTTTGGGCTTTCTTTGAAGTGAACGATAAGCTTGATTTCTATTCAACATAGGGAAAGAGTTATCACTAATAATTTGTATATGCCCAAGGGAAGCAATAAACAACTGTTAAGCCTAGCTCTTCACCTACAACATAGAAAGACGACCAATTTAATCATCTTCTACTACCACAGTGGTATGAATTTATTATTTTGCGGGGTCATTTTGTGATAATTATAAGTTATTTTTCACTCACCAGGAGGCAGTGATCATAGAGAACCGGATAAAAGTAATTGCTGGTTAAGGGAATCTATGTGCGTAGAGTTAAAAACCAACCTAAATCAAATAGTATTTCTTATAGTAGCATAGCTTTAGTGACTGTTGAACCTAACTTTGTTCAAATTAAAAAGCAAATGATGCTGTAGATAAAAGTTACTATTCAACAATAACTGTAATCTTATGCAGAGACTGTAAAAACGTAATGGTACAGAGGTGGAATAGGTTACAATTTGAGTTTATTCAAAGACTGTATAAGTAATTTTATTTCCTGAAAATAAAAATGAAATATGGACAATACTTATATATGAACAAAAAAGTGCAGTTTTGAAGTGGTTTTTTTGTTTTTTTTTCTTTTTCACAGAAACTTTAATCACAGGGACGAGCATTTCCATGACACTTAAAAATAAATACGATTCACGATTTATAGGTTGAAGGTCATTGGTCCTCGTTAAGTTTAAACTCGCAAAACCGCTAAAAGCTGTATTAGAATCCGAATACAATTCGTTATATAAAATGTAATTATTCTACATTAGAGTAATTATGTATAATAAAAAAATAGACAAAAAAATATCACTCTACTGAGCCGTGACTAAGCTTAGCTGAACATAATGAACGTACTGTTCTTCTGGTAAATTCCCTCAATAACAAGACTAAGAGATTTAAAACAGAAAAATAATGGAAGTATCTCTATTCTACCGAACCTTCGAAACGCGTCCGGGTCGTGTTCATTATCTGCATCGTTACTATTTATCACTGACAGAGAGCAGTTGTGTGTGTTATTTAAAAAATATATATTAAGTCGGGGTTTCGTGACCTACACTATTGCACGAAGAAACATGTGTTCTCTTAAAATAATACACACTCACACATGTACAAAACTCTTGCCGCTTGAATCAAAAATATATTGTTAACATCTGAAATGAAACTTTTTTTTCAACGTGTAAAGTAATAACGACGCAGTATAAAATAATCGCCGAGAAATATGTGTTATATATTGTAATTGCTTTCGTTTACATTTGTCATTAGTACGAACATACTCGCCCTTTTAGCAGTTATAATGTTATGGGTAATTCAATTATTCGTTGGTAAGGAGTAGCCCAAGAGCTGACGATGGGTGATATTGACTAGCTGCTTTCCCTCTAGTCCATCATTGTAAAATTAGGAATGGTTAGCGCAGAGAGCCCTTGGGTAGCTTGGCACGAAATCCAACAAAACAAACAAACCATTGTTGTCTTAAATTGTTTTACATAATTGTGAATAATTACAAGTTGAAGTTTATTGTTTTTCGTTTTTTCTTTATGTTTGCTTATTGCAGGAAAACATTTGCTTCATAATGATAATAACAATTTACTTAGCAACAATGAGTTAATAGGCATAGTATTTTTTTACATTTGGAAACAAGAAATACGCTATAGTTAGGTTAAAAACTGACTTGGAAACAAGAAGCACGCTATCGTTAGGCTACAAATGACTTGGAAATAAGAAACACTCTAATGTTAGGCTAAAAATTGACTTGGAAACAAGAAACACGATATTGTTAGGCAAAAAATGACTTGGAAACAAGAAATACGCTATTGTTAGGCTAAAAACTGACTTGGAAACAAGAAACAAAAGCTGTGCTGTCGCTAGAACAAATATTTTTTTGAAAAAAAAATTTTCTTTCACTAAAATGAAAATTACCTCGAGAATGGTAAGCTTGTTGTTGTTACCAAAAATGTGTGTTTGTCTGTTAAATTTCGCACAAAGCTATACGAGGGCTGTGGTAACCGTTCCTACCTTTGGAATGATAGACTAGAGAAAGCAGCTAGTCAACACCGCCAACTCTTAGAGTATTCTTTCAGATTAAATAGTGCTATTTTTCCACCACTCTTGTAACGCACCCAAGGCCTAAAATTGCGAAACGTGAATTTTTTTTTTGTCGGTAAAGTGACGCGAATCATGGAACTTCAAATCATACTTCAGCACGCTAATCATTTTTACATACATGGTAGTGTAAATTACTAAAAATTAACAGTTGTCTTTAGGTGTATCTTGTCACATTCATTTGAGGTAGGATAAAATGGGAAACGTTGACGTTTTTCTAATGGGTAATTATTGGATTTAAAATGTTTTGATTATTAAAATTATTTCTCGCATATCGATTTTCTCCCCTTCGAACATATAATAGTTTTGCATTTTGAATAATATATAATAATTACCAGAATTACTTCATGTGATTAAGTACGGAGCCGGACGGGGTTTAATGGTTCGCAACAAGTTTTCACACACACACACACACAAAATAGATAAAAATGTGCTTCACACTTTATGACCGTGAGAGTGCTATAAGAGCAACGATTAACTCCCATTCTTCAGTCAGACAAGAGTACACCTGAAGTTGGCTTTGGGTGCTCTAGACTAACAGCTTTAAGTCGAGAATATCACAAAGAATATCCTTTACACTGAAAGACATAATCTTACCTGAGGAAAAATTTTGTAACGGCACGTTCTTGGTGATGGAGTCCACCATATCATTTAGGCCATAGATACCCAGAAGCTCTTTCATCGTAGATTCCGCGTAATCTCGCATGAGGAAGGCGTCTAAAGCTGGAGGCACTGTTTCCTTGCCGCTAGGGTCGCTAGGTTGTATAAAATCCAAGTACCTGGTGGAAGGTAAATGATTTCCTAGCGACGTAAAACGCGATAAAAATGCATGACTTTGTAAACTTGTTTGGATAAGAGGATATGCGCTATCCAGTTCATTGTTTTTTGACAAGTTTACAGCTCCCACGTTTTGTGGAAAGTTTTTGCTGGTAGTATCTTTTCGAGTGGTTAGGTCGACCGGTGAAATGTCACCTTTACTTGCAGGACGCTCGTTGTGGTGAATGGGTACCATGCCTTCGCTTGAGAGATCCAGAGGCTGCTCTTTGTCGCCTAATGGGGATTTCTTCGGGTGTGCTGTCCTGAGTCCCTGAATACTGACCATGGATGTCTGGATTCGACATGGACTAGAATCGCTTCTCTCAGACTCTGCACCAGAACAATCTTGTGAATCGGTTGAATCAATAACTTCTCGAGATATTGACAATTTGGTTTTCTTACTAGCGTTGTAGTCAACAAATAAATCATTTTCGGCTTCACTGTCAGAGTATTGATAAACAATGTTTCGAGGTTGAAAGTTCTTTCTTTTGTTTCGGTGAGAAGAGTTCATTGGAAATTCAGACCGGGAATTCGAAACGAACTCTTCAGCCTCACTCTCTCCTGGTGTTTCCACGTCTTGATTGTCGATGTCTCGGGATTCTACTGTACAAGTTACTTCTGAATCCTCATCATCACACAGATTAAACCCTCTATTTCCTTCTTCTTCATTTTGGTCTTGCTGCATTTCGCTGTTTATGCTTTTGGAGACAATGTATCTGTTAAATGGGCACAAAGGACTTCCCACTTCTGAAGATTCTGTAGTCATGTGATTTTCCCCTATAACCATTTTTTCTTCGTTGTTTTCGTTGTTAGTAGCTCGCTCCTGTGTTTCGTTGCCGTTTTCTGCTGCTTTCTGATGAGTCGTGTACACTTTAAGTAATTCGAAGGTGTGACTTGTTGTCTGAGGGTTAGCTGCTACTTTTATTGAACTCATCTCTTACAAGGTTGGCCGGGTTTGTAATAAGGTCTGTCATCTAGTTCCTTTGGTGCTCTAGAAAAAATATGCAAAAGTACAATGTAAGTATACATTGAAAACAATAAAATAATTGAAAATCAACTCATGTAAACTCAACTGATAAATTGGCCAAGTAACGGTTCTTAATCTAGTGTTACAAAAGTACAGAAAAAAGAGCTACAATTTACACGTGAGTTTATCATTTGACACGAGTTAATTTAATTTTAAACCAATTTTCCTTTCCACAGATCCCTAGTTGTTCAACTGGTCATTATGAAGGTTATTATATATGAATGTAATACTTATTTTATCGCAGTTAACGATACCTTTTATATTACTTCACATAAAGAACCGATCGTAGGGCAGTGGTTAACGTGTCTTTCTGCTAATCAATGTATCTGGGGTTCGAGACATATACCGCTGAACTCACTCTGCACTTCCAGCTGTTAATACATTATAAAAGTAGCAATGAATCCCGTTATTCGTTTGAATAAGTCGGGCAAAATGTTTGTGGCTGGCTGGTTTCCTTCTGATCAGTAGTTAAAAATTATGGACGACTTCACCCCCAGGATCTCCAGACCTGAACGTTTAGCCCACGTGAGCATAAGGTGCCTTTCAAATTGGAAATTCCAATTTTGTATTTTACATCAACATTTAGTCTTAACACAGTTCTAACTAAATTCTTATACTGATTATAAAAATCTTTCATAGAATGTTTTGCCTTCTTTGTAATAAATGACTTATTCATTCTGACTTCGTCTTATCTGTGCTTATAAGTATTTAAATTTTGTATTTATGGAAAATCTACTATGGCTATCTGCCTCCGTACCTGATTTTGAACTATTGACCAGAAGAAAGGCGGCCAGTATTCTACTACCCGCCATCCATGCTAAGAGATTCGCTGTTACTCTTATAACACACTAACAGCTTAAAGTGTGCGGAATATTTTGTGATATCGCAAGTATTCGAATCTGGTTCGGCAATCTCGAAATACAGAATTCTGCTACAGGATCAATCAGCGCCCAGTGAGCTTATAAGAAAAAAGTAATAAGTAGAACAGCAAAAAAGAAAAATCAATATCTAAGTTAGTTAACCTTTTCTAGCGTTACTCTTGGCACAGCAACTAAAGCAAAATATTCATTTGAGCTGGGCGTGACGTACAGGCTAGGTTACTCGGAATGTGAATCATACGGTACATGGTTCACGGCCCGTTCCCGTAAAAAACACGCTTCGCACTTTGAGGTCGTGGGTGCTCTACAGGGGTGACAACCATTTCCCATTATGCGGTCAAAGAAGAGTAGCCCAAGAGTTGGCTGCAGGTGTTGTTGACTAGCTGACTCCTTTTAGTCTAAGGCCAGGTACAGCCAGGTGGTTAGGGTGCTTGACTCGCAATCTGAGTGTCGCTAGTTCGAATCCCCGCCCCACCAAACCTGTTCGCCTTTTCAGCCGTGGGGGCGTTATAATGTGACGCTCAGTCCCACTGTTCGTTAGTAAAATAGTAGCCCAAGAGTTGGCGGTGGGAGGCTGCCTTCCCTCTAGTCTTTAATTGCTAAATTAGGGACGACTAGCACTGATAGCCCTCGTGTAGCTTTACGCGAAATTCAAACCAAACTTTTAGTCTATCATTTCAAAATGAGGAACGGTTAGCATAGATAGTTCTTTCTGTAGTTTTGCACGAACTTCAAACCAAACCTTTAGTCCATCATTTCAGAATGAGGGACGGCTAGCATAAACTTCGCGCAAAAATTCTGATACAAACAAATAGCTCATTTTAGGCTACCGTCTTAGACTTTGCTTGTTTTATTTTTAAAACGCTGACATCAACTCTTTAGAAATAATTAATATATTAATGATTAAATAACCTTCGAGTAACATTATTATTATTTTATACAACCTGATCTCACCATATGAAGAAAACGATGTTATACTTTTCAATCCTAAAATAAATAAACAGTAAACTGTTTAGAAAATAGTCGCTCTTGGCACTTATTCTTTCTTTTAATAATTTTAACTGTTGTTGTTTTTCTAATCAAAAAGTAGCCACTTTTTATTATTTATAGTTTTAGTTTTATCAATATAACCGCTACCTTGCCATTAGATATAAGTTTGATAAAACTCTGAAACGTTTAAAAAAGAAACTGGGTTGCAGAATGAAAAAAAAGGGTTGTTGCTGTTTGTCTTTCTCACTTTGGCGGACGATTCTTTCCCTGGTCTCTAAACGTTACTGCTTACCTTAGATATGAATTCATTGTGGGACTTTGTTATTGTTGTTTTCAGAAACGTCTACATTACTATAATATCTGGGATTAGGTTTAACATTTTACGGAGCAGACTATAACATACAGTTGAAACATTCGGAATCAAACAACTTATGCCATGCTCTTCGATAACACGAGCAAGACTCCAGCATAAGGTCAATATAAATTCAAACAAACTATTATTTGTTGACTATATCATAAACAGAGTGTTAAAAGCTGAAAAACTTTGAGTTATAGACTAGGCCTATAGTTACTTCATAACTGTACCCACAGTTCACAGGCTTGATTAACACAAATTTGGGCAGAATGTGGTTAAGCATCAGAAGGGTTAATTAACATGATTTGGCAGGTAAAAGAAAAGTGCTTAAAATTTCAACTAAGAAGGGGGGGGGAGGTAAAAAAAGCATTGTGTAAAAATGTTATCACAAAATACCGCATTGGCAAGTTAAAACAAGCTTAAAACTGCAATATAATTTAAGCTATTTTAAGAAGAAAAGTTTCAAATCCTAGAGCTAAAGATCATTGATGATATTACGGTGCTCATCTATGATAATCAACTACCACTCTCACACATAATAAGCTATAAATCTCACACATGTTCAGCAACCAATCTCACACATGATCAGCCACTATTTTCACACATGATCAGCCACCATTCTCACACATGATAAGCTACCAATCTCACACATAATCAGCTATCAATCTCACACATGATCAGCTACTAATCTCACACGTGATCAGGTACTAATTTCACACATGTTCATCTACTAATCTCACACATGTTCAACGACCAATGTCACACATGATCAGCTACTTATCTCACACACGTTCAGCTATCAATCTCACACATGATCAGGTACTAATTTCACACATGTTCAGCTACTAATCTCACACATGTTCAACGACCAATGTCACACATGATTAGCTACTTATCTCACACACGTTCAGCTATCAATCTCACACATGATCAGTCACCACTCTCATACATGATAAGCTACCAATCTCACACATATTCAGCTATCAATCTCACACATGATCAGCCACTACTCACACATGATCAGCTACCAATCTCACACATGATCAGCCACTACTCTCACACGTGAACAGCCACCAATATCACACATGATCAGCTACCAATCTCACACATGTTCAGCTACTAATCTCACACATGATCAGTCACCAATCTTACACATAATCAGCTACCAATCTCACACATGATCAATCACCACTCTCGCACATGATCAGCTATCAATCTTACACTTGATCAGTCACCACTCTCACACATGATCAGCTACCAAGCTCACACATGATCAGCCACAAATCTCAAACACGATCAGAAAACACTTTTACAAACGATCTGGTTTTATACATGACTTCTGCATATAAACATCTTCACATCTGGTGTCCTGTCAAAGCACATTTGTCAAGGATGACAAAGATGACATGATTACTGGCAACAGACCATTTTTATACTTGAATGGCTGGATGAAAAGTGAAACGTATAACCAGAATAAAGGTTTTTAAAGCTAGTGACGTAGGTACGTGTGAGAGAAGGGAACACGAAGGGTTCACCAAATACTATTCAAATTTTATACGAAAAGAAAAAACAATAATAAAGAAAACTATAAACTACGATTTGGCAACTAGAAAAATTAATTAACTTAATCAAGTTTTGTATCTACGCGTTAAATACGTATTGGGCAAGCTTTTATTTTATTTTTGTAACCGTTGTCAGAGTAACTGATAGTAATAAAACAGTTTTGAAACTACTATAAATGCACTTAAACAACTTGTTTACAAAAATATTAATGCAACGTACGCCATGACGACAGTAATGAAATACAACAAAACTTAAAATTACAAGTGAAAAACGTTTATAAGAATTTTTACCCCAAAACAAGGGACAATTTAGGGACAAGTTGTTACTACAAAGTGGAGGTGAAAGTTCCATTGAATTTCTGTTTTTCATCATTAATACACCCACGTTATGAATTTAAAACAAATGATTTGGCAAAGATCGAAAAACCAATTCTCTAATTTTTCTAGCCAAATTTTTGTCTTTGTGATTAGTTTTAAAGAAACAATTCACCCGTGTATCTACCATTAAATATTTCACGTATCTCTGCTGATGGTTGAGGTTAGTTCTTTATTCTTAAGTATATCAGCAGTGTGCACAACCTGCATGATGTTTTAAACCGTTCCTATGAAGTTCGATGAGTCCAAAGAGATTCACTGGAGGCTCTGTTCATAGAACATAGAACGGGCTGGAAAAACTGACTTTGAAGGAGCGATTTATGCCTTAGGATGTTTAAATAGATGTGTATTCATATGAAACAAACAAACTTTTCACGAAAGACTAATAATTCGAACAAAGAAACTGTAGAAAACCTTAAAAGAATTTTAAACACCTTTGAAAACAATTGACAATAGTCAGTTTTATATTCCTGCTGTCTTCTAATCCATTATTATATGGGAACCTTTACGTGATTGTTTCTCACACAAGATTTACTCTTTTAATTCATACATAAAATACGTCATTGCGAATGTAGAATTAAAAACAAAATTATAGAAATTAAAACAGCCTGGCAGTGTAAACACTAATAAGGGTGTAACTTGTTTATCGTGCTTTTCATCCTTAACCTAACCACCTTAAACTGGATGATTTTAAATTAAACAGTTATGCTATCAAACGTTAAGATGCGTGGTTAAAACGGTGTAAAGAACCACCCGTTTTTTATAAATAGATAATGTACATTTAAAAACTAGGACTAAATAACT